AGCACTTGAAATATGGCAAGTGCAACTAAGGAACTGAATTTGAAATTCTATTTCATTTTTAATTAACTTTCATTGAAATTTACACACCCACACTGCTAGTGGCTGCCTCATGGAACGGTGCCAAAGAAGAGACCTGCTAACGCGATGAATGACCACAGACCACAGAACGACCACAGCACACTCTTCGATGAAATTGCCATGATTATTAAAAGGGGTGCAAAATCACCCTTAAAGTGGGCAGATCCCTTCCAACTTTAACCTGTAGGGGTCCTCTCTATTCAATTGCTTTTCGTCAACGTCCTATTTTTGCCACCACCTACCCAGTCTTCTCTGCCAGCGGCAGCAGCTCCCCAGGCCTCACAGTGGCAGGTGCCAAGCTAGCCAGGGTGCCCAGGGTGAGCTTAGCAAGTCCCAGCAACAAAGGGTGGTTCTGTCTGCATTTTGCTTCCTGCCTGGGTGTGGTGTTCACCGCTCTCTCCCGGCTGGTGTTTTTCCGAACAATGGAAATAAATCGGATGTAATGTAGCAGAACACGACAAGGGACGGTTTCCCCTTAACAAATACTCATTTGAAATGGTGCCCAAGCCCTGCTCGAGGAGCGATCTATTTCCCACAGCAGTGTTCCGGCAAAACCCATTACTAATTCCACAACTCAAATTAAAACTAACAGAGCTTGAAGGCTGGGGCCGACACTCTCTCTGCTGACAAGGAGTGAGGAAGGGTGGGGGAAGGCGCCGCGCACTCGCGTGTGTATGTGTTTAATTACACTGTTTAACACATCGAGAATAATTTAGCCACCCAAGTGGAGAAAATAAGGCACTTAACTGTTCTCTGGTGGAAAAAAAACCACACAAAACCCATGCAAACCACTTTTAGCTGTATGCCACCTGGGCACACCTCTGGGCTTTGGAAGGAGAGGAAGAGAAGGGGAAACCAGGGAAAAGAGAGGTAGAGTAAGGGAGAGAGAGAGTAGGAGGAGAGAGAGGGAAGGAGAGAGGGACAGCTTGGGGGAGAGAAGGAGTGAGAGGTAGAGAAAGAGAGTAAAGGAGAGAGAGGAAGAGATGGAGGCAGGAAGGAGGGAGAGAGAAAAACAGAGGTGAGAAGGAGGGGAGAGAGCAGAGGAAGGGAGGAATAAAGAGAAAGAGGGAATTTTCCATATGTGCAAATCTACAGGGAGTTGGGAAGGACACATGACCACTTCTCAAGGTGCGGCAGGCGGGGGCCTGGGCAGTCCTGTGTCCATCTGGATAAAGTGACCTGATTAAGTGAATAGACAGGGTCTGGGAACCGGATTAGAAGGAGACAGCGACGCTGGATTAGGACAGCTGCTGAGTGGAAGGGACATGCCTGCGGTGGCCCAGGAGCCAGCCATCCTGAGGGCCTCCCCCTGATTCTCTGCCTCAGGCACGTCTCTTACCTTCTCCGGATAAGGATTCGAGGGGCAGAGGACAATGTTTGGCTGAGAACGAGGATAACGTTCCTGACTTCCCCTTCCTCAGGCACGTGAGAGTTCATTGGATCCAGATGTGGGCCCCTGGCTGCGTTCCCTGAAGGCAGGTGTGTGGTCAGCTCTGATGGAGACCTGCCCCTCAGGGTCTCTGTCCACCAGCTGTGAGTGGGGCTGTTCAGTTCTCTGAGCTGCGTGGGCTTGACCCTCCGGCAGGGGAGGTGGGCACAGAGGGGCTGACCCAGCCAGTGAACAGAGGCCAGCGTGCTGCCCAGAGAGAAATCAAACCGAGGTCCTGGCCACTCTCAGTTTTAAGGATCCCTTGTGGCTCATGTGGCAGAGCAAGAATATTAACCTCAGCATCGGCTCTCTTCCAGCCCAAGAACTCAGGCAGCTCATCACCCATCACCCGGGGCCACTACCTTTAGTTCAAGGTACTTCTCTCAGTAAGTGCAGCTCCACCAGCGGGGGTGGCAGTGGGCAAGCCTTTGCTTCCACACCCCTCCACCATCTCTTAAAATTGTGCAAGTGCTTATTAGCTAAATAGACCATCTCTGAGGCAATGCAGATGCTGGATAGAGGCGACTTTCAGCTGCCTTTCAACACGAGTGTCACAGATTACCAGGGGCTGGAAAGCCCCTTAGGGATCGCCTTGCTCAACTATATTAACTATTAAGTCAAGGAAATAAGGTTTGGTTGAACTTTCTGGCTGTTTATTGAGAGAACCAGTTTTGCAGACTGGAGAGCATGCATGGCCTCACATTGTATTGCAGATTTTTTTTTAATTCAAAAAAAGGCTTGTGCAAAGCAAAACACAGTGCATGGTAGAGAAGAATACCCTGAGAATTTAGGGGTCCAGACAGAAGAGAGACCAAACCCAGGGCTGCCTGGGTCTGAGGCAGTGCCAACAGGTGTGCTGCAGGAAAGTGCTGGCGCACTCAGTTCAGCCAGTTTCTTTGGCCTTCTCAGAGTCTTTATATGCAAATCTGAATCATGATTCTCCAAGGAGGGGAGAGTAGGAGGCATCATTCACCCAAGTGTTTGATCCCAGAACCTTATATCAGGAGCACCTAGCAACAGCTTTCAGAATCAGTGTTCCATGTACCATGCTTTAGGAAACACTTGCCTAAGATATATAGAGTCCGGTCTATCAAGGACAGGGAACACCAGTGCCTTACACATGTCCAACAAATATTAATAACTAGAGGCCCGGTGCATGAATTCATGCATGGGTGGGGTCTGGCCAGCCTGTCCTGATTGGGGCCCATCGATCAGGGGCCAGGCCAGCCTGAAGGAGGGGCCGTGGGAGGTTGGCCAGCCAGCCCTGCCCCCATCAGGCCGGTTGGCCAGCCACAGTGCATGTCATAGGGACAGGTCATTCTGTTCGTTCTGGTCACTTGGCTTTTATATACATATAGATAGTAATTTGATCTGTTTCGAACAAATCTTATGTGCTGTCTCAGGTTCCCTTCATGTCACTTGTCTCTGGGGCTCTCAGCCCAGACAACTTCTGGACTCAAATAAAGTGCCAACTTTAAGGACTAGGATCTGGATTTCCCAGTGGCTGCCAAAGGGGCCGGATGGCACAAATCCAAAGTTCAGGAGAGTTAACTCCCCATGGGGCAAATTGAGCAATGGAAGATAGGAGACGGAATGAAACCGGCATGTAAATTTCCTCCCCAACCTCTCTCAGTAGAGTGTCCCAAGGCCTGGTGTTTCTGCAAAGCTAGCCCACAGATGTTCTGCGTTGGCCACGTGGCCAGCGATGTCTTTTTGTGAAGGTGACACTTCTCCTTGCATTGCTTCCCATTCTCCTCTCCTCCTTTCTCATTTCCCTTCCCACACTGTCCTGATATTGCATCTCCCAATGAGGCATTAGCACTTAACCTTTGTCTCAAGCTTTGTTTTGTAAAGAATCCAGGCTCAAGGAATATAAATAGTATTAACTAAAATTTTTTTTTAACATTGACCATGTGCCAGCCACTGCCCAGTACTTTGCATGTATTATTTTATTTAATCTGTTCAGTAATTGTATGAGGCAGATGCTGTTGTTACCACGTTTTAGTGATGAGGAAACTGAGACCCAGAGAGGTTAAGTAACATGCCCGAATGGTAATATCACATAACACATATGGTAAGAGCAAGCACAGTGCTGGAAAGAGAGTAAGCACCCAGTGCCAATAGTTGGGTCATTAATTTGTAATTTCTTGATAGCACCTCTTCTTCTAAGGCATTCTTTCAAGTGAATCCCTCACTGAATACAACCAACAGGGGGACAAGACAACGTACTGGGAACAATCTAACTCTAGCTCCACTGTTTGCATCTGGTGTGCACTCAGCAGCAAGTCACTCACCAGGTACCTCACTTTTTTATCTATAAATGGGAGATAATGAACTCATGTTACACATAACTCTTCCCTATTACACAGTTGACTGATTATTACTACACTAGTGGCCCGGTGCACGGATTCGTGCACAGTGAAAGGAAATAAATTAGAAGAAAGACTCATGTGGTAATTATGTTATTGCAAAAAATTACATGTCAAAATAGTATATATAATATGGTATTATAAAATTAAAACACGTGTGCAATTGGCGCCAGTGAAATCTTTACATGTATTGCACAGGCACGAGTCAATGTTTATTTTTAAATTGCCAGTGCACGTCATATGTACTGGCCGGTCAGTCGGTCGGTAGGATGGACATACAGTCAGTCACTTAGCCTTTTATATATATAGACATATATTGGCATCAACCAATGTGCTAACAATTGAGTCCTCCTGCAGCTATCACCCACAAAAACAAAGTCTGGGTCCAGCAGGATACAGGTGGGACAACTCAGGAGGATGTGGTGACTGGAGATCCAGGGAATGCCACCCAGGCATCAGCAAAATTCTGCATGTGCCAGGGCAAACAGGCAGTCGGCAGGTCACAACCCAACTGTAACTACAGAGGAAACATATCCGCACTTATTGCAACCTGGTTAGCTTGGCCTCAAGCAAAACAGCGTGAGCTCTGCTCTCTGAGACCAGGATCACATCTCCAGATGACCCACCTCCAGCAGCCACAGAGGCACAAGCATTGACTGGGAAGCAGCTGGAGGGGTATAGGAACCGCCTGAACCTCTGAAGTGGCTGTGATCAGTCTTTGGCACTAACCCGGATTTTTCAACTCTGTTCGTATCATTATTCAGCTGGTTCATTAGAGAACAGAAGGCAAGGCCTGGGCCCCATTCCTCCCCCTCAGTATTAAATACTGACCATGTGCCAGAAACTATGAATGGGGGGACAGTGATGGGGGTATCCATTATGGTCAATGTAGTGCTCAAGGTTGTGGCTTTGCATGAGTAGAAAGCAAAGGTGACTCAATGATTAAGAGAGTCAACTCATCCTTTGCCCTGGGTTTCCTTAAAGCTTATCCTTACACACTGCATCAAAAATACAGCTTTCAGAGCTACTGAAAACATATTTCTGGGGTTGCAGATTAGGAATCTACATAATTTTAAGAGGCTCTCTTGGTCCGAAGCTCTGGGAGGTCACCATTCACACCTTACCTGTTTCCAACAGGTATGTCCGATGGAGCACTCGGTGTCAGCAGTATTCCCAAAGGGGTCCGGATCCCAGTAGGACTGGGCAGGTCCCAGGGCTCAGCAGCAGCCTGGGGAATCAGAGTGGCAGTCTCTCTGGGGAAGAGAAGTTGCAGCCCTCAGTGCTGGCATCTGGCATCTGTTTGCTTCTTCCCCTAAGGCTCTTCCTTATAAGGGCACACTAGGCATTGCCCCACCTCAGTTAAACAATAATCAGCAAACATTGGGCACCTCCCTGAGAGGGGACATTGGATTTAACTGCTAGATCTTCCCCACACTGGGCCCCAAGGTGATTGCCACCTGATCCCTCTTTACTTCCTGGAGCCCCAGCTGCAGATTTGCCGGCTGCCTGGGTTTTGGGTTTCTCATTGTTTCCAGATACTCAGCTTATTTTACTTCAGGGAATTGTGTTTCTACAAAACCACCTGGGAAGCTAACTTCCTGCCTGCCTCATTCTCACACAGGGAAGCCCCATCGCCCTGTATTGCAGATCAAGAGTGTCCGCTCAGTAAATCCCATCACCTGGTCTTCCTGCTGGAGAGAGCCTCTCTACAGGTCACTGCAGAATGCAGTAACCAGGCCTGGGAGACTGGGGAAGGTCTTGGCATCACCCCTGCTCAATGGAGGGGGAGAAAGCAATGAGGTGTGGAGAGCAGATGCTTCCTGCCTGCAGAACCCTGGTGGCGAGGCTCCCCCTAGGTCATAGGAGGGGGTGATAAAAAAGGGCAGCAAGAGGAGTGTGGGAATCACTGAGAACAGATGTGACGGGATCCATCCCCAGACTGGGGTGGGTGGGAAGAGATGGGATTTGGAATGAGAGCACGTGGGAAATGTGCTCAGCCCATGTGCCTGGGAGTCAGGACCATAGGTGAGGAGCGCTATTCAAGGTCTGAAACCGGGTTTTAATCTCAGTCCTACAATTGCTGGCTCTCTGACGTGAGCACACCTCCCCTCCTCTGAAGCTTAGTTTATTAATCTGTTAAATGTGGTTTACAATGCCAGCCTCGTCTCCCTCATATTTATTTATTGGGGTGCCTATATCCCAGGGGACACACTCTGTTAGGACTTTGACTATAAATACAGTAAACAATAAACACACTCTTGTATAAGCATAATTAATGAATAAATACACATATGTTTGGTGGCTGTGCTCAGAATGACTTTGCTAAGAGGGTATGCAATCAAAAATGTTTGAAAGCCATCGTTCCAGAAAAAAGGGGTGTGAAAACGCTTTAGAAAGCCCTACCCAATCAGTGTACCTTGAGACAGTGCCTATAGAAAAGTAAGAGTTTTCCTGCTTACTGATGACAGTTTTGTCTTCTCCCATTTCATAAAAAGAAGCTCCCCGTCACTCCAGAGCAGTCTTTGGGAATACTGAGTTAAAAAAGGAAAACACCCCCTAAGGCAGCGGTTCTCAACCTGTGGGTCGCGATCCCTTTGGTGGTCGAACAACCCTTTCACAGGGGTCGCCTAAGACCATCGGAAAACACATATATAATTACATGTTGTTTTTGTGATTAATCACTATGCTTTAATTATGTTCAATTTGTAACAATGAAAATACATCCTGCATATCAGATATTTACATTACAATTCATAACAGTAGCAAAATTATAGTTATGAAGTAGCAACGAAAATAATTTTATGGTTGGGGGTCACCACAACATGAGGAACTGTATTAAAGGGTCGCGGCATTAGGAAGGTTGAGAACCACTGCCCTAAGGAGTGTTCTTGGAGCCAGGAGCCAAGTGGCTGTGGGTGACAGTTCTGCTGTAAGGATGGCTGAGGCGAGGGGCTGGAAGGAAGACCTGTTCACCAACCCAAGGGGCTGTTTGCTTTGGGGCCTCATTGGCTCTTGGATGTTCTCTCTGCGCATTCATATGTGCTCCTTGAAAGCCACCACACAGTGGGTTGTGTGTTCCAGAGAATTCTAGCCTGGGGCCATCAACCCAGTGACCTCTAGCTGGGACTTTGCAGCTGACTTCCTCTAGGCTTGATGAGCTTTCGCAAAGTGATACCCAAGTTACCAGCACCCAGGTTAAGAGACAGCATCACTGATACCTAAAGCTCCTTTGACAACCCTGCCCATCACTACCCTCCAGGATACCCCCAACAAACACCATCCCCAGCTTGTTCACTTTCATTAGCTCCATCCTTCTTTTTTTTTTTCTTATAAGAAAACCCCCCCAGTGTTGATTTAAGGGATTAAACCAAATGTTTTAAATATGACAAAGGGGACTATGTGGCAGAGCAAACAGGTATAGAGTGTTTGCCACACAGGCAAGCAGATCATCTAACACAGTGGTTCTCGACCTGTGGGTCGCGACCCCTTTGGCGGTCAAACAACCCTTTCACAGGGGTCGCCTAAGACCATCCTGCATATCAGATATTTACATTACGATTCATAACAGTAGCAACATTACAGTTATGAAGTAGCAACGAAAATAATTTTATGGTTGGGTCACAACATGAGGAACAGTATTTAAAGGGCCAGAAGTTGAGAACCACTGATCTAACAGATTTCATATATTTTTACATGACTCTGTGGGTCGAACAGCAAGTCAACAAAGCGAGGTTATTTTTGTTAGTGTCCAAAAGAATGAGGTGAAGGAGGCTCACCCAGCCCAAATTTGTTGTGCTATGGATTGTTCTGGATGGATTCTGAACTGTCCAAGTCACGTTCTTACTAACTCAGAGCAACAGGTGGCAAACCCAACATTACCTACAAGGAAGGCATTATAATCCCTCGGGTTTTCAAGTCAAAGTGCCCACCATCTGGCCCTTCCACCAACTGCAGAATTTTGGACAAGCTACTTAACTCTCAGCCTGTTTCCTCAACACCAAAATGGTGATGATAACAGAATCTAACTCCTCAGGCACCAGGAGAATTAAAAAAGCAAAGGCAGGTAAATTGCTTAAATATTAAGTCTGGTACTTAGTAACTATTCAATAGATTTAGTAAATCAGACATATACCTGCTTGGTGGAACGTTAGGAGAACTGGGTTGGGAGAGAGATTGGGACTTTTAAGGTGGAACATTATGGAAATGATAAAGGTGATAACCGAGGGACTCAGAAATGACACACTGACCAGGAGAAGGTACAGTAGGGAAAAGGAAGTCATTTTCACTTGTTTCTTGAATTTCTATTTCAATAAGTAAGGCCACATGCTGCAAGTATCGCCTGAAGAAACCAACAGAGACCGGCATCATTCATTTCTGCTGTTGCCACATGTTGCTGAACTGAGAAAGACAGAAGCCGTTGGCCAAGGAGAAATGAGCTCTGCTACTAACGTGGAAACCTTAGTCATGGGTGGGCTGAAAGGACATGAACCCGTCACTGCCTTCTGATGTGGTGGCCTCCCTGGTAGGGACTGGAGAAACCCAAGTGCCGTGCCAGCTAAAGGATCGGGAGCCAACACTGAGATGCGTGTGGGTGTCAGGGCAGGGTCCCCGGGTGCTTGCTCTGCCCCTGGCAATGTTCCAGCATCCCTCAGGGTGAACTCCTCCAGTGGACACCAGGTCCATGAAAGCACACTCAGAGGGTGGTCACTGTCCTTGCAGCCTGAGGAGGCTGCATGGACCAGGACCGTATCCTATCCTGGGACTAGGAATGGGTGAGGGGATAAGACATGGGCCTCTGATCACTGCTTCCTTCTTTGACTGCACCCCCAATAGGCAAGTTCTGAGAAATTTGAGGCAAGAAGGCCTAGGTTCGCCAGTGCATGTGGTAGGTTAGGGAGGGTTGGCGTGAGCTGTGCTCCCCACTTCCATGTGTTAGCTAACCCAGGGGCCTTGTGGAAAACCCTTCTTCTTCAAAGGTGACAAGTCGGTAGGAACAGGGACAGATTGGACATATTCAAAGTTGGTGCAAATGGCTTGAGACAGAGGAAGCGCATTTGGTAAATTGGTGGGGGAAATTGTCACTTGCCCAGAAAAGTCAGTGACCAACCCTAGGGAGGAAGAGGCAGCGTGCTCAGGACAAAAGGTTGGTGAGCAACCACTTGCAGGGCCTGGGAAGCCACCGGATGTGGGGGCAGTGCCGGCCAAAATTCACATGGGGGTACTGTGGGAACAATTCGTTCTGAAAAGAGGCTCTCAGTCCCAGTGGGAGAGACTCCAGGGACCCTGTAAGCAAATGATCTTGGGGAGCTTTCTGGGCATCTCCATCTGCTCCCCAATGTCATGAACAAGAAAACCAATATAAAAGGATACCTGTGTTCACTGGGAGGTGGGGGAGGGGGAAGGAGAGAAAGAAAGAAATGTCCTGAGGAGACTGTCTTCATCTAAGCCAGTTTTGGGGGTGACAAAAGGAACTACACGAGAGCAGAGACATGAACCTCTGAAAAATTAGAGAAGAAGAATGGGGAACCCTAGGGCCTGGACCAGAGGCTCTGTGGACTCTGTACAGGGCTGCCAACTGCCCACTGACACACTATGGAAGAGAAGCAAGTAAGTTCATTGATATGGGTGCTGGCACCATCACAGTAATTAAATGAGGATGTTAAAACTGCCAAGTACCACTGTGTGAGGACTACACTGAGATGCCTCAGAGAGATCAGACTTCACTCAAGCTCAGATAATGCCAGTTATCATTACAAGATACAAGCCGGTGGTCAGAGAAATAGTTATGCTTCCTTGATAAGGAGATGCTACTGAGGAGGTGCACACAGCCTACTAATATCTATTTTTATCTATCTGAGATTGCAAATCTTCAACTGAACAATCAAGCTTTATTCATTTCTGGACCACTCATCATGTTACTCTTTTAATATGCAAAACTGTCAATTCAATTACACAATGCAAAAAAAAATATTTGGGACAATTCAGATGATGCTAAAAGGAGACAACTACAGAGAGAGAACTTGCTAAAGAGGATTCTCGTATCTGCTCAGATCCTCATTGGCAAACAGGTCTGGTCATCCAGGACCCCACCCCAACCCCCACCCCGGGCCTCCACCCTAGAGCAAGGCCACTACACCCCTCAGGGGAACCTGAAGGGCATCAGGAAACACAAAACAAAACCTGTTAGTTTTCCCTTAGGCGGGCTGATAAGGTACTTTTCCTCCCCATTTGTTTTTACATGTTCATTACCTATTTCTTCTTCAAGATGAAAACAACTATTTTATTT